AATACTATTTTAAGCTATACACATAACATTACATTTTAAAATACATTAACGTTTGTTACAAACTTTCTATATTCGTTTTTCTCCGCCCTTGACACCGGGCGTGAAGAATGAGGTCCTGAGACAAGACGCTCGCCCCGCCAGGGGACAGAACCTCTTGTTGACACGGAGACACTGCCGGCGGCGGGCTCCCCTCTACCATGGTGAGAATACTGGCTTACATCCTACATACCTACACTCATTTCTCTTAGGTCTTGCCACTGGGGGCTAATGTGTGGGCGGTGGTTCCTGTGATAGCCTGAACATTTTCCGGGGAACTGTATCAGGGTAGTGAAGGTTTGTGTCGAGTCATCTGATCTCGGAGACAATTTAAAATACCTGAATTTACCTGAGGGGACACTATCTAGTGGCCTTGATAAGGACAGGAAGCCGGCGGTTTGTCAAAGGGCCCCCTCCTATTTGTCCCGATGATTTTATTGGGCTGGATTTTGAGATTGAGCAATAAGTTTGGTATTTACGGCTTCGGCGGGTAGGCAGTTCCATGGGTTTATAACCCTATGGGTGAAAAAACATCTGTTTTCTGTCCTACATTGTAGATTCTTGAGCTTTAAACCGTTGCTCCTTGTCTGTATGAATACTAGTGGGAGGGAAGGAAGAGGGGAACAATATTTGAGCATAGGGTTCTATCTTTCAAACTGCCCTCAAGCCCATCAACATGGAACTAACTCCCAAATGAATTAAAAAATTGGCCAACCTATACTTTATTTCAAAGCAGAACAAAGAAGTACCTGATTTCATTACAATAGTGTCGCACCTTATGATACTAACTCGCCCAGTATATTGTGTTAGTAACTCGCCCAGTATTTTGTGCTACTAATTCACCTAATATTTTGCGCTACTAACTCACCAATTATTTTACTACCTAAAAATACAACTCGATCAGGAAAATTTCTTTTACCGCCTCTTTATAACGGTAGATAATTATGTGAATTAAAATTCTGTTACTGTATACCTATTATTACTTACATTTTTGTATATAAAAAAATGCTGTTTGCTAGAACTCCTGACTCAATAATGTAATAGGCTATGCTTGTCATCCTTAAGTATCACTTTTTTATAATCATTTGTTATTTTCCTTCAACGTTCTCATTTTGTTAGCCTCTCTTTTAGTATTAAGTGTTTTACCCCCTCACACCTTTAGTTAATTTGTTCTATATTTTAAGTTTTGGCCGAACGCTTTGCGTAATAGTGGCTTCGTGAGTATGTGTAACTTCTGTCCCTAAAATTGTACATTACTCTTATGTTCTTTGTACACATATTTTTTAATACAAATTATTATTATTATTATTATTATTATTATTATCCAGTAGTGACTCGCCTTCTAGTATTAATTTCACTGGAAATTCTGTGTTAGCTTTAAGACCTTGGGGAAAAAACTCTGTCAGGGACATTACCTGAATTTACCTGAGATGTTACAAGAACACAGCTATCACTAATATATGTACTTTCACGATCATTGTACCTTCTTGTATAAACAAATAACTTAATGACAGTAGAATCTGTATTACCAGACAACCCATCCTCATACAATAATAGAACTTATAACTACTATATGCTGGAAGGTACAAAAATGGACTGTTGAGGCCATCAATGTTCACCTTTTGTAATATTATATAGAAGGTACTAAAGTCCAAAACACAAACTTAAGCATTCTTAGTCTTATTAATCCTATTATAGCCTAGGATAAGTTCTTTAGTTACTTGTCCATTGTTGTTAGTGTGCCATGTTAATTGGCTTATTTTTATTGTGTAAAAATGATTAAGTAGAGCAAATGCACTAATCAAGCCTCTCCTTGTTTGCATATCTATTAACTAATATCGAATTGCCAAGACATTAATAATGTTATATTTGAGCTGTGCCGTATATAATTAAACTGTGTTCTTATCAGATTGGTACGAGATCATTGTTGTTATTGTGTGATCGGTCGCAGGGGGGAGGTCGGTGGATGGGTCCCCAGCGACCACCACAAGGTATGACACTGCACTGTGATACATTCCACGCTGTGCTTGCTGTGTCACACCTGACGTGGAACTGCACTGTGGGTGATACATGGCACACTGTTCTTTCTGTGTCACACCTGACTTGGAACTGTGAGATGCATGCAGTGCCACACCTGGCTCTGGCCAGGGAATGTGGCTGATCAGCGTGAGAATGTGACAATCACCCAGTTGTGTCTGCATGTGGTTCACCCCACTCGTCCCATCCCCAACTAACACCCGCACCTTTTGATACATGCACAATATGATAATATATTATAATATTAATTTATATTTGAGAATATTCCCGTTTTGAATGAACAGCATGTAAAAATTTATGAATGCGTCTGTGGGGTCGACCGCTGAATGTAATGGACTTTTCCAGAGTCGAGGACGGGTTGCTGTAAAAGCTTCACCCACGTACTACATATAATATAGTACAAATAATCACCAACAGAACCTAAACATCTGACCTAACATATGCTAATATACTATAATATTAATATATATTTGAGAAAATTCCCATTTTGAATGAACAGCATGTAAAAATTTATGAATGCGTCTGTGGGGTCGACCGCTGGATGTAATGGACTTGAGTCGAAGACGGGTTGCGAACGTCAACAGTTATGAGTCGTGTAAACCATTTTTCATTCATAAACAGGGGGTTTGACGGGTGCATGGAATGGACTTTGAGTCTTTGTTTAGAGGACGGGCTGTACTGCTGGTTGCACAATCCGTCCTCAGACCAAGTCCATTCCATCCAGCGATCGACCCCAAAGAGGCATTCATAAATTTTACCATGTTGTATATTCAAAACATGAATTTTCCCAAATATAAATTAATATTATTTTATATTACCATACTGTACATATTTAGACACTGGTTAGGTTAGGTGTTTAGGTTCTGTTGGCGATTATTTATATTTATAGTACGTAGGTGAAGCATTTATAGTGTTGTGAGTTCAACAAATTTCACCAGTGAAGGGGTTGTTCCGGAAGTGTTCGAAATTCATCAGTTGTGAGTGTAAGCGCGGGAAACCCTACACCACATGGTTACTGTGTGGTGTCTGTATATTAAGTCCTTTGCTATGTTGGTATTTAACATACTATTTTCGGGGATTTGAAGCCTGTTATACTGATATAGTGGAGCGCTAGTGGACATTGTTCAGTATAGTCTGTCTCCCAGAACAGTGTCAGACTGAGATTAATTCTCGTTGTCGGGGACAGGAAGCATGTACTTAGGCTTATCTAGGTCCGAGACCAGCCACTGACCTTTCCCAGGATGCAACCCACAACAGTTGCCTAACCCCGGACTACGTTATGTACCCGGACTTATGTTACTGCTACGTAAATAGAGGCGTCAGGTGAAAGAAAACGTACCCAATCGTTCCTCTTCTGGCCGGGAATTGAACCCGAGTCCACCTATTACGAGCTGAGGACGTAGACTACTATGCCACAGCACCCATATGAAATAACTATAGAGGTGAATATTTTAAATATCTTCGCGACAAAACCTGATCCCGAGGCGTTGATCTATCGTCTTCCCCTTTGATTTCCAGTTTTTGTGGAGTGGTGTTGCAGGTGTCACCCGTTCGCTTAAAAATAATGTCGCTTTTCGCCCGTATGCGCGCTATGGCCAAAAATGGACGTAATTTGAAATCAAATCGGCTCATGAAAGTGACGTACTGTCCCGTTTTCTGTTTGAGTCCTCCGGCTTACTCGATTAGGTTAGGAGAGAAAACTTTCAATTGACGTTTTTCATGACGTTTTGAAACCTTAGGAGAATTGGGTGTGAGGCCAGAGCCAGCCCGGGCAGCCACGGGAGCTCTTCAACTCTGCACCTGCTGCAGTTGGCAGGCCCCGTGTTGACCTCCCGGGGAGTGTGGGAGAGCAGTTGGGCACACTGGCTGCTTGGCTTACATGGTTGGGTGGGTGGGCGACTGGTTGAGTAACTGGCTGCTTGGTGACTGACTTCATGGCTGATTTGGTGGCTGGTTGGGCTGAATGGCTAACGGATGAAACACGAGGTATTAAATGCGCGAACCCTAGACACCCACCTAGCCCGTCCTCTCAAGTTGTCACAACGGACAGAAAATGTTGTTCTAAGTTGTCCTGACCAAACCGATGACCCACGCATACGAAAGGTTAACTTTTGCTAGCCGCTAAGATGGCTAGTGCATCATCTTTTGTCTGTTGAGGCTTTTGACCTCAAAATACGCAGTGATTCCATAGTACAGATTGTTTAGCGAGTCGCTGCTTCTCACAGTATCCTGTATTTGTCTCTTCGGGATCATAGTGTACAAAATGTGCTGTATTATTTGAGAGGAAAGGTTGTCCAGTCTAAGTGGCTGGCGGCAGTCTGTTCAACTCAGCCTCTCGGATAATTCCTCGCATTTTGACGTATAAATCCCCAACGGTTAAAACATGATGTACTAAACATCATAACGGCTAGCAAAATTGGCTGGATGTCACGTTTTCTGTACTTGGATCCTCGGTAGGTTAAGTTCGGGCAATTTAGTACATCAGTTTTTGCAACGTTGTGACAACTCGAGAGAAAGGACAGAACGGCTAGGCTGGTGGCAGTCTAACGGCCAAACTGGGTTGCAATGTAGTGTACAGTCTGGCTGGCTGGCTGACTGGTTGACTGGGTGGGTGGGTGGCTGGCTGGCTTGCTGGTTGGCTGGCTGGCTGGCTGGGTGGTTGACTGGGTGGCTGGCTGGCTGGTTGGTTGGTTGACTGGTTGACTGGGTGGCTGGCTGGCTGGTTGGTTGGTTGACTGGGTGGCTGGCTAGCTGGTTGGTTGGTTGACTGGTTGACTGGGTGGCTGGCTGGCTGGTTGGTTGGTTGACTGGTTGACTGGGTGGCTGGCTGGCTGGTTGGTTGGTTGACTGGTTGACTGGGTGGCTGGCTGGCTGGGTAGTTGACTGGCTGACTGGGTGGCTGGCTGGCTGGGTGGTTGACTGGTTGACTGGGTGGCTGGCTGGGCGGGTGGCAGGCTAGGCGGCCATCCAGGTTAGTAAGCTCAGGTCCACTGGCAGTCGCTCTCTGTTCCCGTCGTGACACGGTCGCTGCTGCTCCTCCTCCTGCCGGTGCTCCACTGCTCTCCGTCATGGTCAGTGTCCCTCACCGCGCCTCGTGTATATACACACACCACCTCTCACACATCCACACACGGTGTCTCTCCCTTGTGTACATACACGGCGTAGCTCACGCCTGTACATACAGTGTGTCTAGCCTATCTATCTATACACGGCGTCTCCCTTGTGTACAAACACGGCGTCTCTCACACATGAATACCTGGGGTCTCACAAACACATGGCGTCTCACAAATGTGTACACACCTACACACCGTGTTTCTCACACACCTTTACACACACACACACACACACACACGGCTTTTCTCACACGTCTGCACGAAGGTTGAGTCTCACACATATCCCGTTTGACATGTGTGGGCCATGAGATCGCGATTCCTGGGCGGGAAATGGTTGGGCTCGCTTCCTATCATCCAATACTCCTGTCCACCTAGCAGTCAGCTGGTTTGGATGATTGATTGTTGTTGCTGGGGTTTATTATGCACCCCCATACTCGTCCTGTGAACGGTAGCGCAAAAAGGATTACAGAGGGCACAAAAGGTCTTTATTTTTTATTAAACAAGAGCTGTTATATTCTTGTACAGCCACTAACTAGTACGCATAGCCTTTCGGGCAAGCCCTTACTCCTAATTTTTCCCTGGAATACGACCCGCCAAATCGTTTAACAACCAGGTACTCATTCACTGCTGGGTGAACAGAGAAGCAAGGATTGGCACCCAGTCAATCCTTAATTACATCTATCTTGAACACCTTATAATTATATTGTCAGCTAGTTAAGAGATTGTTCCATTTTAATAGGTATGTATTTACAATTATACATTATACATTAATTGCAGGTACTTTCTCTTAATAAATATCAGTTTTAATTATGGAGGTATTGGGTCATAGGAAAACTGCTGTTTATAATATATCAAATATCATTTATGTACTGGAAGCGAAACATGGATAGTTTTCATTTTCAGGTAATTTATCTTATTCCTGCAAACACAACGTAATGGTCCCTATTATTACCTTATTACAAAGTGTTACAAAGTTGTTACATCTTGTTATAAAGTTGTTACGACGTGTTAGAAAGTTGTAACAATTTGCTAGATACTTCTTACAACTTGTTAGGTGTTACAATTTCGAACATTGTAGCAACTTCATAGTTCCGTTGTGTCTGGCGGGATGTAATAAGATGGTTTGCCATTTCATGCAACGTGAGGTTAGATTTATCGCGATTCGTTAGCCAAGATGTAATGTTCTAGTGTGTGTCCCTGTCTTTGTCAACACACTTTTCTTCATCTAGTTATTCGAGCTGTGACAACGTCTGTTAGTCTACTGATGTTGTGACTTGTCCCATACACATGTTGTGTTTGACACATCTCACTGTGATCAACAATGGGACCTGCTAGTTCCTGTTTGTACTGTTCTGCTCTCTTCAGATTCATCCAAGAGTTCTCGTCTAATGGCACTTGGAACCTATTTGATAACTCAGGAATAATAATAATAATAATAATAATAATAATAATAATAATAATTTACATATAGGTACAATGGGTTGGTGAGATTACATTAGTGATATTTTTATATTCTTGCAAAGCCATAACACGCATAGCGTTTCGGGCCAGTCCTTAATCTAACATATCAGGTAAGGTGAAAAACTACATTGTAGCAAGGGTTTTATATCAACAATATAAATTGACAGAGGTGATTACACTGTTTTTTTTTTAATTTTTCGCAGGGATATTCCTGCGCGGGTCCTAAGCCTCTGGCTGGCCCACTAAGTGTTGCTTGTTTCTGTTTTACTTGGGCGGAGCATGAGTATTTATGACTCGTATGGTCCCTTCAGTAAGATTTTGCCATATGTGGTTTAACAACTTCTGCTCTGTTGAATCTAAGTTGAAATCTTAATGGGTTTGTAACTGTGCACTGTGTTAGATAATGTTCCAGTGGTCTGTCGGGCATTTCTCCACAGTGCTGACATTTCCTCTCGTCTTCCGGAACCTGTAATCCTATTTCCCATGCACATGGGTATCCAAGCCTGATGCGATGTAAGTGTACTTCTGTTGCTCTACTGCTCCCTTTCATCAAACTTAGTGGGTTCGTAGTTGGTTGAATTCTTGTACCAACCCGCAGATCCTGATGTTGCGACTGCTGTGTTGTGGTCACTGTACATCTTTTGCATTGCTCTGTTTCTAATTACTTTCTTAATCTGTGATAGACTCTGTGGTATGTAAATGTCTACATTTATTCTCTTAGTTGCAAGTTTTGCAGCTTCGTCTGCAATGTCATTTCCTATTATTCCCACATGACTTGGCACCCAGTTGAAAAGTACCCATCGGCCTTGTCGTTTGAGTGTTTTCATTAATGATTTGTGATCAGATGTGATTTCATTTGTGATCAGATGTATGTTATCACATATGTGTTCTTGTTGCAAGGTTTCAATGGCGGTTCTCGAATCTGTATGTATGATAACATGTTGTCGGTGTTCAGCAAGAGCATGTTCCAAAGCCTTTTGAACGGCTAGCATCTCTGTAAAGTCGAACACCCATTTGAGAGTCATTACTCTGGTAAAGATGAAGTACTTAATTAGTCTTTAGTACTAATATTAGGGAAGTGGGTACTACAAGAACAGTGTGAGTTTGAAGCACAAGGTAGGAAACTATGAGGATGTACTGTAATTAGATCCTTTTTAGTCTGACTTTTGAACAAGACATAGGTTGGAACCTTTTTTAATTCATCAGGGAGTGAGTTCCAAAGACTGGGCCCTTTTATTTGCATGGAGTGTTTGCACAGATTTAATCTGACTGGGGATATCAAAGATATATTTATTTCTGGTGTGGTGCTCATGGGTTCTATTACACCTATCAAGGACAAGTTTCAGATCAAGATTATCATTTAGGAACAAGGTTTTGTGCATGTAGATAGCAAATGAGAATGTATGGAGTAAGTGTATGTTTAGCATATTAAGGGACTTGAACAGAGGGGCTGTGTTTTGTCTGAAGACAGAGTTTGTTATAGTTCTAATAGCAGATTTTTGCTGAGTGATGATAGGCTTTGATTACGTCCAACATTGTTTTTATTTACTGCAATCTTAGGAAGGGCATGAAATCTTATGTTCCTGCAGTCCAATGTGCTTGTTGGGTTGCATTTTGGGGAGGGACAGTAATTCGACCCTGAGGGGGGGGGAACCTCTGTATAAGCCTAACATGCACTGTATGTATGTATGACTGTCACCCGCCACAATGAATTAAAATTATTTAAAAATTTTATGTGTACTCACACGGCGTTTCTCACACATGGCGACTCACACACCTGCACACACACATCGTCTCGCATGTGTACAAAGACATCGTCTCACACCCATGTGTACACACAGGACACCTCACACGCATGCGTACACGGCGTCTCGCATGTGTACACACGTACATCTCCCAGTCCCTGTTCTCCGTGCGCGCACTTGGCGAATAATTTATAATTTAATTAAAAAGTAAAGAGCAAACAGTAGCCTAATGCGTTAGTTTATATGTATTATATACAAAATCTAATAGCAAGCTCTCATTACTGGCAGCACACACACACACACACACACACACACACACACACACACACACACACACACACACACCGGTGAAGTGTATTAAATGTATATTACAATATCCTATTTAGAATGCAATACACTTAATTATAAGTAGGAAACTTACCAAATTCCTAATTGTTATGTAAACTACTTTTAATATTGCATTCAAATCATATTAATCTTCTTAAATCTGATTAATATTTGATTATTACCACCTGTTGCTGGTCCTGACTCATATCTGCCTCACCATGATACGTCACTGTATAAATGATTAATATTTTATTTTATAAGAGGCTATCTTATATATCTTAAGTTTTAAGATAACTTTTTTTAGGCTATGTTATTTTTAATATTCGCAATACATTATATAATGAATGTTGTCAAGTCATCATTATATACTGTATTCTTAATTCCATCATCATGCGTGTATAATGTAATGAGGATATATACACCTACAAGTGTACATACACGGTGAAGTGTATTGACTGTATTCAGGAGTGTAACGTGTAGCTGCTGGTTGGTCAGTAAGCTTTGTGGAGACTTTAATACCAATACCACACAGATACAAAGATAGGCAGTGGGCTGGTGGGAGTGTATTGGACGAGGGCAAGTTAAGGAGTGGAGGCGCTGTAGCAGGAGAGAACAGAGTCAGGACCCATCTGCGGCGGGATCTACTACGACAGACGGAGGCGCGGGGTCTTGTGGGGCGAGACTGTAGTGTAGAATACATTTGAGCCTTGATGTCCAAGGGGTTTGGAGAGGATGGGGGAGGTAGAGGGATGGGCAGCTTCTGTCTTGTTCTTGGTTGTTTTCATTCTTGACGTTGACAGCTTCCCTAGCTGTAGTATCATAACCTAGCTGTAGTAATATAACCTAGCTTCCTTAGCTGTAGTATACAACCTAGTTTCCTTAGCAGTAGTATATAACCTAGCTTTCTTTGCTGTAGTAATATAACCTAGCTTCCTTAGCTGTAGTATATAACCTAGCTTCCTTAGCAGAAGTATATAACCTAGCTTTCTTTGCTGTAGTAATATAACCTAGCTTCCTTAGCTGTAGTATATAACCTAGCTTCCTTAGCAGTAGTATATAACCTAGCTTTCTTTGCTGTAGTAATATAATCTAGCTTCCTTAGCTGTAGTATATAACCTAGCTTCCCTAGCTGTAGTAATATAACCTAGTAGTACACTGAAGTACATTGCTGTACTAATCTTATAATTTTTCATTAACTTTCTTGCTTAAATTTCTTGTTAATGTGTCACAAAAGCTTCTTAAATAACTCTCATTCCACTCACATCTCCCATACATTACTTTTTCCGAGCGACCAGAGAATGACCTTTCCAACACCAGTCAGCCCCTGAACCAGAAGTCGAAGTCAATTTAATCACTACACTGTTCTTACCCCTTCAGAACCTCCAGATAAAAGGACGGACCGTCATAAACAACTGGGTCCCGCGCTGTAAGGGGATCTATAGTGCGGAAATAGCCAAGGAGACCATGGGAGTCAACACCCCAGGCAGACATTTACAGAACACCATAAAAAGAGGATGGAAACGCCGTTTTCTGCGAGAGGAAAGGGCGCGCTCTAATGTCCCAGCTGCGACTCGGGAAGTCGTGAGGTACAGGCTACCAGCCTTCGCCACCAAGGGTAAAGAAGGAAGCAACACACCAAAAGGCAAAAGGGCTAAATATTTCGGACGACCAGTTGGAAAGTCGCTAAATCAGGGCTTCTTTAACTATACTAGGGATCGCCAGTTAAGGAGCCAGCTAGAAACGCTGACCAGCGCAACTAAAACTCTGTTCTATAAGGTTTGCTTATTTTAAATCAACTAATACCTGTTAAACAACAGCTGGCATACAAAATATACAAATAGTATAATGTGTATTAAATAAAATGTATAGTACTATACTTTTTGAAGATTAATTTGGTTAAAAATGTCTTATCATTAGCGACGAAGCAAGTCTCTCGACTCGGGCGATAAGGCAGTGACAGTGATCACCATCTGATATGCTATTTACTGTGTTTATCGTGTACACAATTAGTCATGGATTATATTTAACAACCCAGTACCAAACATTATGATAACACTAGGCTAGTTTACCGTCCATAACCGTTGTGATGTATTCTCAAGAGCAACGTAATTTGTACATTTACGTATATTCTGGCAAGAGGCAAACTTGATATTGTATATCTACGGATATTATATCACGAGAATTACCAGTCATGGAGGAAGCCGTTGTGTGGGCGTGGACAGGCTGGTGTGGTGGTCCTCCCGCCCCCAGACCCGGACAACAGGCTACCGCACGCCAACGTTATTTGACCAAACCTCTCTAAATGTTTCCTCAGAAGAATTCGCAAATAATCAGGTTGAAATGGTGAGGAATTTCCTGGAGCGAGCACGGAAGAAGATTAGAAGCACGAGACCAGTCTGAGGGTCTACAGCCCCCATCGTCGACGTCCCACTTCAAAGAGTATATATAAGAGTATATATGAAGTTCAAAAAGTGTAGAAGTTTGTAACAAGGCTCGACCCAGAATTAAGGGGATGGGGGTAGAAATAGTTTAATCTACTATCCTTTGTGGATGTATATTATTAACTCAATAAACTTACTTGAACCCCTGAACCTGGAGAAAGACAGAAAGGGTTAATCCTTGCGTCGCTAGAAAAGAAGAGACAGAGACATGATCTAGATATATACAATACTTAGTGGAGTTGCCTGGGTGGAATTAAGGACATGTTCACATAATAATTAGTTTCATTATGAACGTAGTGAAGAAATAGATGAACTATGAAGTGATGCAGCCGACTCCTTCAACATTGATATGGCAGAGTTCAATAGGCTCTTAAACCAGTACTCTAAATATATTGAAGGTTAAGAGGCGGGACTAAAGAGTCTAAGCTCAACCCCCCGCAGGCTCTTTTATGTAAGTACAAATAACCAAGGACACACACACAGAAAGAATTGGCAGAGTTGACTCGGTACACAACTTTAGTGGTAAGGATGACAGCAAAAGCGTACAAACCGAGTCATTACATTAAACAAAGAAATGTTCAGAAGGCGAGACTAGGCGCTGATGCTAGATCCTACAAGCACATCTAGGTGAGTACATGTAGGCCAACACATGCTCAACCTTGCCAGTACATCTAGGTGAGCACACTCCATGGTCGGGAATGATGCCAAATTCCATGAATGACTGCCACACCACAGTGGAGGCGAGGGGGGGGGGGGTGTAACTCTCAGTGTGGTCAGGCGGGGTGCAGGAAAACACTGGTGAAGGAGTTGAACAGGTGGAGATGAGGTGACCGCAGGCTCCATCACCCAGGCGGGGCTGGAGGTCTGGCTCCGTCTCGTGACTGGGCCATGTATACACATGTAAATATTCCGCCGCAAGGGGTGGGTGGTATCATGAACTTGGTCTGATCACTACCACAGGACCTGCCTCACCAACTTGAACATCTTGCTTCCTTGTTCACTGCTCATAGAAGAACAAGTTCCCCTGTCTCTCTGAGGTTCTTCTCTATTGGATTTAAAGCTATCTCCCTTCTTCTGTCTGCGCTCTCTCTCTCTCTCTCATACTAATGAACATTTTATAGTATATTGATCCAGACAACTTCTTTAAAAGGTCAGATGTAACACAATCAAGGCTCTACGGCATTAAGCTCAACAAGCCTCACTGTAGGACTGAAAACAGAAGATGCTTATTCATAAAGGAACCGTCTAAACGCCGAAACTTATATGCTAACACTTTAATGCAGTTCAAAACCCACCTGGATAAAACCAGGTCCAAATCTGTTTGTCCAAAATAGAACAGCAGATGCTTGGGGTTAACCTCACCAATCTTTCAAGACAGCGCTTGGAAAGGACGGGGGAGGGAACTGTTTGTGTCACAGGCCAATCGCGATGAGCCCCAGTGCCACGCTTTAAGAATATCGGCATCTATAGCGACCTCCTTGCGATCTTTTTGAAAACTGGTATGTGTTTTCCTTAGAGTTTTAGCTGATTTTCAGTAATTTCGTTAAATTTTCTATTCTCAGCCGTAGATCACAGATTCGAATCCAAGCGGGAGCGTAAACAAACGGGCAGCATTTTCTTTCACCTCATACCTCTTTTTCAACTATCAGTAAATAGGCATTTGACAGTTAAGACAGTTTCCAGGGGTTGCGTCATGAGGATGGTCAGTAGTTGGTCTAATATATGTACATACACAAGCACACTCACTCACACACGTAACACCACACACACATGACACGCCGCACACATGACATACACATGACACACCACACACACACACATGACACCACACACACACACATGACACCACACACACACACATGACACACCACACACACACTCATGACACCACACACATGACACCACACACACACATGACACGCCGCACACATGACACACCACACACATGGCACACCACACACATGCCACCACACACATGACACCACACACACACATGACACGCCGCACACATGACACACCACACACATGGCACACCACACACATGCCACCACACACATGACACACCACACACATGGCACACCACACACATGCCACCACACACATGACACACCACACACATGCCACCACACACATGACACACCGCATACATAATGCTGTCACTCGCCCCGGGAAAAAAAGCGAGGATTTTCTGCCCCTGTTCACCCAGAAGTAATGGGGAGCCGGGAGTGAAACCTATTGGCAGGTGGTGTTCCAGGGAACACCAGCAGCATAATGCTTACCATAAGCTATGGGAAGGGAAAGCTGTCAGCTTGCTGACAGGAATCACGAGCCATCTCTACCCTCCTGTGTAAAGGAGAGAGGAGAACTGAGATAGGCGGGGAGTTTGCGGCAGAGGAAGGAGGAAGAGAGAGAGTGGGGGAGAGGTGAGAGAGAGAGGGAGGGGTTAGAGATGCCCGGGCACTACCAGGTACCCCATCATGTACTAAATAAATTAGAACAAAACCAGTTAAACCCTTCTATATTAGTGGACGGGAACACGCGTGGCAGGAGGTCGGAAGACAGTGTTGTCGTTGATTTAGGGGCGACGACGATCGTGGGATCGGATGCGCTCCGGCGTACCTGTGAAGGATTAATTGCAAATCCTAATGGTGAAACGAAGATGCGTATCGCCAGACACTAAGATGCCTCGCGTCAAATAAACGCACAGTCAGGGAGATGATTGGGGAGCCCCTCGCACTTTCGTACAGTCACTATTGACTTATTTAATAAGTGCATATGTGACATACTAATTTAACGTGAATATTTTAGTTTACCTTGAAAAGCTTCATAGAAAACACCGACCTTACCTAACCTTCTTAGTATGTTAAGATAAGCATCTTATTGCTTCTTAATTACAATTATTACTTAACCTATTATAGGTATAGGTTAAGTAATAATTGTAATTACGAAGCAATAAGATGCTTATCTTAACATATTAAAAAGGTTAGGTAAGGTCGGTGTTTTCTATGAAGCTTTTCAAGGTAAACTAAAATATTCACAATAAATTAGTATGTCACATATGCACTTATTTAATAAGTCAATATTGACTGTACGAAAGTGCGAGAACGGGTTGCAGGGGACAAGCACCGGCCCCGCCCCACACACACAACACCCGGGTAGTAAAACCAAAACTCTCCCCGCAACTAAAACGCAAAAGTCATCCGGTGCCCTCCACCTGACCAGATGCCAGCCGCCCACCACGGCTGAGGGCCCATCAGGAGCCCACCACGTCTGAGGGCCCACTAGGAGCCCAACAAGACCCACCAACTCCCTGCACCTCTCGGCCAAGCCGGCGCCGGACACCGTCACCCCGCCGGGAGAACCAGCCAGAAAATGTTCAAAATAATCTATCAACCATCCTGTGACCCAAGCCAATATGTGCGTCAGGCGTCGTACAAACCGGACCATTGAATAGGGACGCCAAACGGCAGTATCAAATCCAAAATCACGAACACAACGTGATCCGACAGCTCCCAGGCGGAGGAGGTGTCAAGACGTCCACTCGTCGTCAAGGTTGAACCGGGAGTCACGGGAGATAGTGTGATAGTAAACAGCTTGAAAACAAATCGTTGGATCGTTGAACAGAGGAACATAGCAAAGCGTAAGGAACGTAATAAGAAAGTAAAGAGGAAGCAGTGGGTGGTAACTGGTGGGGTGAGGCAGTGGGTGGCAAGGTGGTGACGGGTTCGACCCCACAGTGGGTATACCAACGTGTCCACATTCTTCCCCAGTCTCGAAATTATCATCTCTAGGTGGGCAAGGCAAGGAGAGGTGGCTGAAGGAATACTGGTGTGGGCGCAGGTGTGGGCGCAGGTGTGGGTGCAGGTGTGGGCGCTGGTGTGGGTGCAGGTGTGGGCGCAGGTATGGGTGCAGATGTGGGCGCAGGTGTAGGTGCAGGTGCAGGTGTGGGCGCAGGTGTGGGCGCAAGTGTGGCGCTGGGGTGAGTGCACACCATCAGGGACAAAAAAGAGGAGACGCACCGTGCGAGTATTTTGGTAAGGGGCCGGCGTTCACACCCAGCTGTGTGTTCCTGTGACGTGTCCTCACCTAGTGGTGCTCGTAGGTCCAGCTTTGTCTCCTACACTCCGCCCTTCACTGTGTCTACACCTATTGGGATTCACTTATTTGTGCTGCAGGATCAGACTTCAGCTCATGAACCCTGTTTTTTTAGTCAACAGTTGGCTAATACAGTCACTCCCGACCTAACTTTCTCTCGTACTAACGTTTGTTCGTTTAGTTTATTTCATTTTCTATATAACACCAAGTTCGTTTAGTTTATTTCATTTTCCTGCTATT